AGGGACAACAAAAAGCAAATATGCCGGACTTTACTATCTGTGGTCCCGTCATGATTTGCAGATGGGCTCTCAACTATCGAGGATGATTTGAACGTCTTGCCTAACGCGCAAATTGGATCCCTCATGGCTTGGGAGTTGGAAATGTATGTGCGACTGGCAGAGGCTTAAAAGGCTATCATCTTCCCCATTTAAGTTCTGTTCCTTTATTAGCCTCAGATCCATGGATGATTGTGCCGAGGCGCCATGGACTGACATGACCTAACATGTTTACTCCACAAGTTCCCCTATTCTTAGTATGGATAGTACCTTGCATCCCCCTTTTCTAATTGTCTGTCTTTTCCTCACCACTCAAGATATCTCCTGATTCGATGTACGGAGTACATAATTGTTGCTTCTACTCTGTAAATTCAGCCCCATCTGGTCTAAGATTGTTCTGAGAGACTGTGACCCGGTAAAAGAAGGAGATCCACAAAAAATTACTGGTACTAGGTAGATATTCGACAGTTGCTTCAATAATGGCTTGATGGATCATCAGAGAATAATAGAAGGAGACACCAGTCACTTTTGCTCATCTTATTATTTCTCCCCATCATCATCATCACCATCACCACCACCACCAACCCCCCTTTTACCCCATTCCCTTCTGTTATTCTTGTTCATCTCTCTTTCTTGTCATTCATTTACTGTATGCTAATCTACTGCTGTCTTTTCACTGCAGCTCGTTGTAAGTATCTGTCATCTGTCCCTTTTCTACCACAAGACATTGATTGACTTCTCCGGTGCATCTTCAATCCTTCAAACATCCTCATACCCACTTTGTTCTTAGTCTCCTACAAAAGATGGACTAATTTATTCCCTTGAATGCTACCTTAAAACAGTCTAGTGAACTACCTTACTCCATACTCCAGACTACTACTACTAGCCTTAGACCAACTAGTTACGGGAGCAGAGACCTACTCTCACTCTCCTTTTCTCTCCGCCCTCACTAACCTCGCTCCTCCGTACTCGCTTTGTTTTTTTCCCCTTCATCCCCTATCTACTATCTAGACTAGACTAGATACTCCTTTTCTTTTTTTTTTCTACTTCTTTTACTCCATACAGATTTACTAAGAGTATTTGCTTCGTCAATTACTCTTATTCTTTCTCTTCTCCATTTCTCACTATTCTCTTCTTGTACTAAACTAATTTCTCTTGATATCCCATTCCCCCTTCTTGGCTTTTTGTTATTGCGGCATTCATTCTCTGCTTGCCAATTCATGCACATTCCAATTGACCATTGAAATCCCTTCTCAACACGTCTCCATTGGAGATTCTTGGTCTTTTCTCCCTTTCTTGGTTGGATTTTTTTGTCTTTTGCTTCTGGATAACGATCACTTGATATCATATTCCACCTTCTTTCACTTTTCTTCTTCCTCCCCTGCTCAATTCTCATTGCCCCCTGTCTTCTTAACGGGGCTGATCTTCAGACCGGTGGCTTTCTACGGTCTCTGATCATTAATATCGCTTGGTTCTAATCCTTTTTTGCTCTGGTCGGGTGATATCGGCCGCTTCAGACAAACCGAACCCCTCCTACGTCTTCCTGTTTAGGGGCAATCACCCGTGTCTATATCGTTTCTCCTCGCCATGCAAACCGCCGATGCCTCGAGTATTTCGAACCGCTTGATGCATTCCAAATTCTCTTCCTTGAACGCGGACAATACTGGGTTCTCCCACGGCGCGTACCATTCCAATATCCCAGTACAGGGTTTCGCGGATCGGAACGCTCGTCGTGCCAACATCCCTCACATCAACACCTCTAACCCGGCCTCAAACCTCTCGGACGGCATGGCAAACTCCGGCACGGCATTCGACATGAATTTCACGCCTCTCCTCCCTTCTCAACTTCTGCTTGGCAGTCCATTCCAGCCTGGGACTCCCTCCGCCTTCGCTTCACCGCAGTTCGCTAATTTCGGTGGCTTCTCCCAAGCCAATGCCTCTGCACATGCACAAAATCATCAGACCCAGCTGGGAAGCCCGACACAGGCCACATCGAACGCCGGTTTGTATTCAGGGATGATGTCAACCGACGGCTTGGGAAACTCTCACTTGTTGAACGGCCCGCAGTCTCCAATTGGTGGTCTGGGAGGCCTTGGTAATGCGGCATTTGGCAGTCCGGCAGCCGCTGTAACCCCTGGCCTCCTCTCGGGCACGAGCCGGACAGTGTACCTGGGCAACATTCCCGCAGAAACCTCCGCGGAGGAGATTCTCAACCATGTACGCAGTGGACAGATTGAGTCGGTCCGTTTGCTTCCAGACAAGAACTGCGCCTTTATCTCCTTCCTGGACAGTAATTCGGCGACCCACTTCCATTCGGATGCTATTCTGAAGAAGCTGGCCATCAAGGGCAACGACATCAAAGTGGGATGGGGCAAGCCGTCCCAGGTCCCAACGTCGGTCGCGCTGGCGGTGCAGCAATCGGGTGCCTCGCGCAATGTATATTTGGGCAACCTTCCCGAAGAGTTGACGGAAGATGAGCTGCGCGAGGAACTCGGTAAATTCGGGCCGATTGACACCGTCAAGATAGTGAGGGAAAAAGCGATTGGATTTGTACACTTTTTGTCGATCAGCAATGCAATGAAGGCCGTTTCCCAGTTGCCACAAGAAGCCAAATGGCAGGCCCCGAGACGCGTCTTCTACGGTAAGGATCGCTGCGCGTACGTGTCAAAGACACAACAGCAAAATGCGGCGCAATTCTTGGGCATCGCTCCCGGCTATGCGCATATTCTGAATTCCGCAGACCGCGATCTGATCACCAACGCTCTCGCTCAGCAGTCCGTCGCTGCGGCCGCCGTGGCCACCTCAGCCGGAGGCGTCAACAATCTAGGGAACCGGACCATTTACCTGGGTAACATCCACCCGGAAACCACCATCGAGGAGATTTGCAACGTGGTCCGGGGCGGACTGCTGCACCATATCCGGTACATCCCTGACAAGCACATCTGCTTCGTGACCTTCATCGATCCAACCTCTGCCGCCTCCTTCTACGCGCTGAGCAACCTACAGGGTCTGATGATCCACAATCGTCGCCTGAAGATTGGCTGGGGCAAGCATTCTGGCCCTCTACCTCCCGCCATTGCACTGGCAGTGAGTGGTGGGGCCTCCCGCAATGTTTATGTTGGCAACCTCGACGAGACGTGGACAGAGGAACGCCTCCGCCAGGACTTTTCCGAGTATGGCGAGATTGAGTTGGTGAACACGTTGCGGGAGAAGAGCTGCGCTTTTGTCAACTTCACCAACATTGCCAACGCGATCAAAGCGATTGAGGGGATGCGCAACCGCGAGGAGTATAAGCGATTCAAGATCAACTTTGGCAAGGATCGCTGCGGCAACCCCCCGCGTCAGACTGGTAATGGTGGACAGCATAGCCGAAACGGAGCTGGTCTCGAGGGAGCGCAGTCTCCGCCTCCTGCACTTAACGGCTTTCAACCAAATCTGAACCAATCTGGCTCCCAGTCGAGTCCCACTCGCCATGCCCTGTCACCTGCTCCCGGCTCGACTGGCTCTCAAAACGGACATCAGCAGAACCGTCATCCTCTGCAAACCGTATCCTCGCCGTCCGGTATCCTGAACGTGGGCGCCAGCAACCCGCTGACCATGTATCTGAACCAAATGTCCGCTCAGCAGCAGGCTCAGGAGCAGGAGAACCGACTGAATGACCCGATGGCTCTGGCCGCCTTTCAATCGCAATCGCAACCCCAGGTCCAACAACAGTCGTACTACAGCACTACGAGCAGCAGCGAGCTCACGAACGGAAGCATCGAGGCCCCCATGCACCAACACAAGCCCTCGAGTGGTTATCTGAACGTGACCAATGGCTCCTCAGGGCCAACCCATCATGCAACTGCCAGTACCAGCAGTTTGAGTGTGCCTCGTGCGCAGCATTCTCGCACCGTGAGCCTACCCTCGTTTTCCCAGGAGCCTTTTGGCCCTGTCTCGAGCCAGTCCGGCCATGGCCGCTCAGGTGTCGCCCACCAGCCCCAAGCAAGTTTCTCCAGCTTCTCATCGGCCCTGGGAGGACTGAATCACGCGGGATTCGGGCTGGCCATTCAGAATGAGTCTTCTCTGCCCGGCTGGGCTGAGGAGGAAATCGGTGCAAAATAGTTGTCTTCTTCATATCTGAGCGATTCATCCCGCTGTTCATTCTATGAGTGTCGTTCTACCCAAACACTTTTTCTACATTCTCCATTGTCAACATTGCGACTTCCTTCTCTGTATTGGTTTGGTTAATTGTGTGGTTGCATCACCTTGATTATTCTGTTCAAATATTTTCTTCTCTTCTCAGCCATGCCCTCTTACCACATTTTAATACCTTCTTGATTCATCACTTGTATTGCTATCTGGGCATGATCTTCTTAATATCTGTTTTCTACCTCTGTCTTTTTAGTTTCTTGCCTTTTTTGAGCCGTTCCCAGCCGCTGACTTTCAGTGCGCTATGAGAGAGCGGGATGAGACGTCGGCTGATACCCTGGACTGGTTCAGCTCTGGCTTGTGCTTGGACGTTTCATTCCCCCTATTTGCATTCTTGGTGCCACTTCAACGAGTTCAATCTGAGCATACTGCTCACCCACGTTGCATGTTGGATACGGACAATGGTTATATAGCCGTGGACGTCGTGGTCCATGATGGCGAGAGCGATTGCAAGCCATTGGATGATGAAGGATATGGGACAAGAATTAACAAAAAATGAAATCAAATGAATGGTTGTCTCAGTAAAATCAATAGGCTTAGACATAGTCATATAGATCCAGCATCCTATGAGGGGATAGATAACATCGACGACTCTGTATATCACGTGAGCTCAACTCCGCCTGGATCGACGCTAATCCATTTCTGGCACGATCCATGAAGCTCAAGCTGAACGGGCGATTCCATCAGTCTTTGTTTTTTACCCCCGTCATCAATCTTGTTCAATTCTTCAATCCTACATTCGAGCTCTTCTGGAAATTTTCCAAGGTTTCAGGATGGCCTTACCTCCAGAGCAGATCAACATCAAGCGTCGCCGCGAAGAAGAACCGGTGGACACATTGTGTAAGAAAAGCTCCCTGACTTTGGGTCGCCCCACGGCCTTGTACGGCGTCACATGTCCACACGCTACTAACTACTCATATGAGTCCTGGTCTATAATATAACTCAGCTGACATGAACTACAGATATCCAGTCTGAACTCCACCAGACCAAGCGGCGTTTTACAGACTTTGTCTTCCAGCGCGTCCAGGTTAGTGGCAATGATCGGGACAGCGGCTCCTCGAGCCCTGCGTCCCTAGCTGCGCCATCACGCACACTCCTCACTCCGAGGTCTGTGAGTAGCTCTGCGTTTCCAGCTTCCAGCGGTGCTGCTCGCCCTTCGGGCCCAAGGGCGGGCGTCGGCGCGGGCGTCGGCGCGACCGTGCCTCTGGTTCGAGCTACTTCCCCTGGGGCTGAGTTCCGTGAGGAACAGCGCCTCGCTGCTGTGCGCAAGGCAGCGGAGGAGAAGCTCCACCGCGCACTGCATTCGTCGAGCGGGGTGGCGGGTGCGGATCTGTTGGGTTCTACTGCTGTTGACGGGGTGCGGGAGTCTTCTGCGTCGAGCGGGAGGGAGAGTCCCGTTTCCGCGTCGCCACGGTCTGTTCGTCGGTTCCAGATTTCCAGGTCCAATACGCCTGTGAATGTTCTGCGGAGCGCGGGCGGCGGCGTGCAGAAGCGGCGAGGTGACGGGGCGGTCGCGGTGCTGGTGGAGAAGTTACGACGGACTCCGCATTCGAGGCAGGCGTCGTTGGTTGCCGATGCGGCAGCGCAAGCTGCGACGGCGGAGGGGGAGGTCCGCGGTGTGAGTGTCCCGGAGCCGGAGCCGGAGCCTGCGCCTGCGCGGCCCAGGAAACGGCCTGTGGTCAATCAGGCGGAGAGGAAATGGAGAGAGGAGCGGAAGACTGCCATCTCCGCTGCGAAGGAGCACATCTCGCAGGTGCTGGAGAAGGAGGCGCATGCTCGCAAGAGTAACTGGGAGGATGAGTCGGAACGGCTGGCTCGCGAGTTTGAGCAGATTGCCCTTGAGCTGGAGGGAAGTACGGAGACCCAACCGTCGGTGCAGCAACCAGTAGCGCAGACGACAGCACGTCCCATCATCCCCAAACCTCCGTTGAAGTACCAGCCGCGCACACCCAATAAACCTCGAGCGACGACGCCGCGGGAAACGAGCGTTCCTGCAATTCCCGGCGTCCGGCCTCCGGTAGAAGCCGTGGTGCAAGAGGGGGCCGACAGTGACGGCGAGTATGTCTACGATACGTACATTCGACGACCACTGCCAGAAGGGACGCTACTTACGAACCCGTTGACCGATCTGGAAACGGGCCACGAGAAGTGGTTCCAACAGAATGGCATTGACAGCACTCGTCAGGATATTGGAGTCATTGTCATTACGCAAGAGGATGAAGAGTACTGGGAACACTTTGCAGAGGACGACGAGGACGAGGAGTGGGATAGCGAGGACGCAGATTCGAATGGTACGCTCAATACACTCGCCCAACCATTCTGCATGCACTGTGCTAACCCATCTTGACGCATACAGCCGAAAACAACCCCGCAAACGACTATCCGGACGAGGAGCTGTCGTGGGACGATGAAGAAGACGACCCCACAGCCATCTACCACAAATATCGAACTCACGGGGCGTCTGACGACGAGGAATTCGACTCTGCCGATTCAGCAAATGAGGGGCGGCACGCACGCCGGGTTGGAGTTGGATTTGGGTTCGGGTTCGACTCGCACGTGGATTCTGACGAGGACAGCCTGGACGGCGGAGGTCCCAATCACGATCGAATGCGACGGTGGTAGCCATTCTGACAAGTGCCGGCCTCCCAGAATCGGGTGGCTGCATTCTGCAGCTTCCAGTCGATTTCAAGATGACTCGCTTGCTTGGTGTCCGGGAATGCAATCTGTCTGGTCGAGATAACGATCATCGTCTTCACCGTCGACCTACCACGAAAATAGTCCCCAAAGACCAGACCCGGTGACCTCGGGATAAGCCCAAATCCAAAACTGAAAAAGAAAAACAAATCATACTCTCGTATCTGCATAAGCATCAGCATGAGCATGAGCATGAGCATCAGCGTAGCGTAGTGTAGCGGTCAGTGCCAGCCCCCACTTCTCTTCAGCCAAGCACGTCTCCAGCCCGTGAGCAAGTGACAACCGGCATTTGCAGGCGATAATGCCGATAGACGATCTTTCGGCCCAAAACAACCATCTCCACGACGGCAGCATCAGCACAGATGCCATCGTCATCGTCAACGTCAACGTCACAGCGCCAGGGCCAGGGCCAAATCCAATACGGGGTCATAGAGTACGAGGACGGGATGCGGGGTTCACGTCATGCCATGTCGATTGCGAACTCGACCAAAAGTCAAACATCCCCTATATCGTACCATGCATTCCATTGAAGTATGAGTTGTGGCCATCTGGGTCCTTAACCGGTGGTATGCCCGTGTGCTTACTTGATTGTCACAATCGAGCTACTACGTAGGCTTAAGGTGCCTTTGCCTTAGTTGGGGTTGGAATTGAGGTGGTTATCCGGGCGAGCTTGCAGAAAGCTCGCAGCTGGCACTGAAGTGGTCTGCGTAGGACGAAGGGATCAGGCAGGATTCTTGCTCTGCGTTTAATTTAGAATTATGATCATCTTAACGGCTGCTTATTTGGTTATACTGTTGTTATGGTGGACACGCCTTAGTACCCTGGCAGGACCGTGTCTGGGAGGTTACGTATCATATTGTATCATACTGAATTGTACCATACGTATTGAAACGTGATGATGTATTATGATTTTAAGCCATCATCGGCGACCCCAAGCTGTCAGACAGCTAGTCGAATGCAGTGCTAATTCAGAAAGCCTCCCAACCATTAACGGCATGACCGTGAACTTGAATCTTGGAGAAACACACGGTGAAAGAGAAGAAAATAGAAACCATGACAGAAACCTCCACATGCAGAAAGAGAATAAACTTCAGAGGTATCTTGCTTGTGGTGCGGCCGTAAAAAAGAAAGACACCGAAAAGGAAAGATGATTTCAAAGCAAAGTTGAAACAAAGACAAACAGTTACGCGGATAGCCGCCGACCAAGCACTTCCTCCTTTGGTTCTCGCATCCATGGATACCACACTTGGGCCCATTCCACAACTCCAAATCGTGGAGCTGCCGAGTCAATCATGGTCGAACCCTCCCGCAGGAACTCGCCGTCCCGCATTCTCCGCTGCTCGCGCAGCGTGGGACATTTCTTCTCCTTGATGAATCTGTAGAACTTGCACTGGATTCCCTGAAACCCGCGCCGTTGGCGGCTGGGAAATTGGCGGTTGAAGTTCTCGCGCACCTCCTTCCACTCCTGGCAGAGGTCGACTCGGTGGTACCAGATGAAGTACATCTCTTCTTCTTCGTACTTGGGCCGGGGAGGCCGACGCCGTTCGGCGGCATTGCTGGAGCTGCTGGAGACGGAGTCGTACCGGTCCCGAGAATAAGGATCTGGTGATGACTCGGCTGATCTAGGCCGGTAGGATAAGAACATTTGGTCTTGAGACGAGCCCGGGGTGTCTGGATAGGCGTGGCTCTCCCCATAATGGGAGCAATAGTAACGGTTGGGACTTGGAGGGTAGGGCGGCGAGTATTGTTGGCTTGAGAATGAATGATGTAGCCGGTTGTCCGTTGTGTCGTCCTCGGCCGATGGATTCAGCAAGGAATCGATGGCCATTCGACTCTGGCGAGACGAGGGCAGGTAGCTAGTTCGCGAATCCATCTCGTTTGGTGGGAGTATTCTTTGCGTCTGAGTAGTTGATGATCGTGGCTGTAGATGAGGGGGCAAAGAGAAGAAAAAACAGGATATGCGTGCAGACAACCGCCGATGGCAGCAAGGTTGGAGGTGATCAAGATGCAGGTGATGGCACTTCTTTCCTCTTAAAAATGGACGGAATAGATGAGGTGGGAAGACGTGTTGGTTGTTGGGGTTCCGTATCTGAGAACCTCAGGCACTGAACACAAGGCTGATAGAGATAGACTGTGAGGCCTCTGGTATTTGTCTCTCAGCCACTATGCACTTTGGCGCCTTTTCTTTCAGAAACTTCCTGGGAGTTGCAGAAGTCGAACACAGCCAGGGAGGACACAAAAAAGGTTGGGGGCGACAAGGGAGTAATATTGCGAACAATATTTTTTCTTCTCAGAGCATCACCAACAGCAGATGAGTCTTCCGGTTGGACTCTTAAATGAGGGTACTGGCCGCCAAGTGTCGGGTTAGTCGTTCCTAACCCATGCAGCGTACCGAGTCCTTGGAACACGCCGGCCTGTAAGAGACCCCGACTGCGCCCCTGTAGTGTCCGGCCGTGGAGAGGGTGGTTTCCCACGGCGGGTACGTGATGGTGCTGGATGGACGGTCCTTGTCAGAGTGATGCGTAGCGCCAGAACAGGGGCAAAGATGAAATTAGACAGATGCAGGCAGAAGTGTTGGTGGTGGTGTGATGGTGTTGTAACAAGGGAAAAAGACACTTGAAATAAAATTGGGACTCTGGAATGTGCCAGACACAGACACTGAGAGTCAAACAATGAATATAATATCACTGTAGCCCCCTCCTCTATGAGGTATGTATGTATGTATGTACGTAGGTCTGAATGTCTGTCCCTTCCTTCCACTCCCCTTCATGCAAGGATATCGGGCTTGAAGATGCGGTAGGAAGAAGAATTTTGCCACTACCTCCACGAAACAGCAAAGTCCAGATGCAGATAGCAGTACTTCGCCAGATTAGATGTTAAACAACAGGCAGGAAAGTGTGGAGATCTCAATCCGAAGAGAGACAGGGTCACGTTGGTAGAAAGACGTGCAGGAATGATTATTATTGTCACTGGCAGATTGGGCGTATTTTATGATACTTTTTTTTCCCTCCCCCGTTTATTTTTCTTTTTAACTCTTTCCTTTTCAGAACAGTCTCCCTTGTTTTATTTTATTTTATTTTATTTCCCTTTTTTTTCTGGGTTTTAACAGCAGCAAAATGAGAGAAGAGTAGCAGGTCTAGCACATGTACTCTTTGGTAGGGATATCAGAAGCATAGACAAGTACTTAACACTGTACGGTGGAGAGCCGCAACAAAGAAATCAACAACGAAACGAAGTTACACCCTCGGATGTGACGACGCTCCGCTTCTGATGATAGACAGAAAGAAACCAACCTCGAAAGGGTAAACAGAGTTGCTCTCTTTCGCGGCTATATTGACAAGCTTAATATGGGTCAGGGCCAGGATGGGGCAACTATATGAACCCTGGTGTTTGACACTGATGACACAATCATCCAGACGGAGGTTTTGGCCACGCGCGGGGCAAAAGCCAAAACTGTCAAGGGGAACAAGGATCTGAAGGCTGATAGAATTTGTAAAGAAAAGAGATGATCAGTATGAGATTAGTTTGATTGGGTTGAATCCAGGAAAAGATGTGCTGTCAGCCTCGTTGATGTGCCGTTTGGCTCACAGTAGAAAATAGGAAGTACGGATTCTTCATTGAAAATCAATTGTGGATCCTGTCTAAGATAGCTGCTCGTATAGACGCCTGATAGCTTCTTCCTCGATACTAAGGTCTTATTACTGCAGACAAAAAAAAGGCAATATCAGTATGTACTCTGTAGTCTGGAGTCTGTAGTCTCTTCGATCGACGCTGGAGAAAGGAATGTATCAAGTGAGGTGGAGTATGTCAGTCTCCTTTTCCCCGTCCAGCCATATTCCTGTGCCAGAGCGAGTGTTAATTGGCTGATGGTGATGAAAAAAAGTAAAAATCAAAATATGATTTTGGGGTATTATTTTGGAGCTTTAGAGGATTCATGAGTATTGAAGGTTGACTTTTTCCATGTACATAATAATAATGTGCTTAGTTTCGACCGAACCAAGCCGTCGAGGGGAACCAAAAATAAGAGTCAGCAATGGATAAAAGAAACTAGCGTGAACAGGAAAAAAAGGGGGAAAAAATAGGAGGGGCAAAAATAAAAACGCAATAAATAAATAAATAAAATAAAATAAAAAATGTCCAACTTGGACAGCCCACGGAGAGACATACCCGAACCAGCCAATGGCACAGGAAGAAATTGCGGCGTAACACACCCACAGTCTGCAGCCCTGCTACTGCATGAGAAGGTTCAATTTCCCGGAGCTGATAGGCCCTCATTTCTCAGGCCTCAAGAAAGCTGGCTAGCATGGCTGCAATACTAACAATACCTCACTGACCACCTATGGTCGCCGAAACAACCCTCTTGCAGGGGTTCGATCTTCGAAGTGGGCTCTGGAACATCAGACGATGCCAAGGTGTGAGAGCTTGGGAGGGTCGGTCCAGTGTATTATTTACCAACAGTTAACTGAAATCCAGTTTTTCGTTTCCTTTCACCCTATTTACATAGTGGAAATCTGGATATCCATTGGCAACTTCCAGCTTCCGCATCTTACTCCGCGGACGGCGCGGAGTGTGGGAACAGAGAAGTGAGATCCACTGGGCCCCACCCACTCTCCAGATTCCAAAAGCAGATAGAATTCTAATAGGTATCGACAGAGATTGAATCCTGAGAAGATAAAATGATTCGGGTTTCGACTCTCAATTCATATCCAGGTTCTAGCAAATACCAGGCTGGCTATGTGTCATTGGCTCGTTAACGAAGCATTGCTGAGGGATTCGATCCTTCTTGTGATCCCCCGCTGGCCAGAAGAATTCTTCCATAATCGCCTCAATGCAATGTGAATGTGAAGGAAAGGATCACTGCAGCCAAGCCCTCTTCGAGCACAACAGCTTTCTAGGCCGATTCGCAAGTCAAGTCACCTAGAGTACTG